AACTAACAATAATGCAGAATAAGATTAAGTTCAATATGGATATGAAGTATACCAGAATGCAAATCAGAGAAATTAGATTACCTCACTCTCAGACATCTTTTCTTCTCCTAATCTGATCCGTTTCATAGAGGAAGCGCTATGTAGAAAATCTGATGTTCTATTCCTTGATGCAATTTCTGGTTCTCCTCTATCTAATGGATAGTCAACGTGGTTCAAACTGATAGGGGTAACAGAATCACATTTCCTCGAAATACAACGGATTTGGTTGGTAACCGTTTCGAGGAAAGGATAATAACCCTTCACTTCAGGTATTTCGAATCTGATGCAGAACAACCTCTTATCGCTCTTGGAAGAAAGCTACAAAACAAAATCAAACAAGAATTCTTCAATGACTTTAAGCGGAAACAAGAATAGGAATAAGAATGTGGAATCCTGTTATGGCCTAGACTTTATGATCACTACCTGAGTTATTTTGAGCTTGAATGAAGCATGTCCGTTCAATAAGTTGCACGGTTTATCTTCAGCTGCAAATTCAACTCCTTCATAGCTTACCAAAAGAGGAGGCTCAGAGTCAGAGTCAATCGTCTTCTCAACAGACGTCCCACTATCAGCATACAGAAGAGAAGCCACAACCTGCAAGATCAAATCGATAATGTGTTATCAGAAATTCTTCCAAAGCTAAACCAGTTCAGAAGTTTAGAGAAACCACAGGAAAATGAACCTTCACATCCTTGTGCACAGGCTGTCCAATAGCATTGGATAAAACAACATCCAAGGAAAACATCTTCCGGTATGCCTATTAGAAAACAATATCTCGACATTATGAACAACAAGGCATCAAAAGCATACACAATTTAGCAATACAACTTTAACCTTTCCGCCAACGATACTCCAAACACCATCTTCATCTAATTCAATTCCCGATGTGGATGGCTTCTCAACAGACAACAATAGAGGTGGATCCTGGCAAAGAAATGAAGCGAAATAAAGAAACAGAAGGACAAGAGTCTTTCCGAAAAAGAAGAGAAGGCAAAGACTTATACCTTTGTGTAATGATAGTTAACAGGGACACTAGAAGCCAAAGCTTCTGCACAGTAGATGAAACCCTGAACGCTATAACCATCTCCACCAACACTAAATAGCGTAATCTTTTGAGAACAATCTGAATTAGCACCATTGGTCATCAAAGAAGTCAATACTTGCTCTCCAACAATCTCTCCGCAAATATGAAGGCGCATGTAGTTTCTAGAAACCTAGAAAACACGAAAAATCAGTAAATCCAACATGAAAAAAGATACATTGATCTATTACAAAAGCGTCTTCGGGGATCTTATTACCTCACAACCAACATGAACCCATTTTTGAAGAGGAAACTCAGCGTTTGTAGAAACATTAGGAACTTCGGTCCAAGAAGAAATGTTAACAGGATCAGGAGCTTCCTTGTGAAGGAGAGTCAATGGCAAAAGCATCATCTTCTTGTTTTCATCTAGCACAAGGAAAGGTGCACTAACACTCATGTCCGAGTGAACCTGAGACGACAAAAGCCACTTTAATCAGAAGCTGTTGTTTTCAGTTAACCCTTAATCAGACTACTACGATGAAATCACAACGATCGATTATACTCAAAGTTCCAACCTTTATCCCCGATTCCAACAAGCAAGAACCAAGACATGAATATGCGAAATCGATTATATCACAGAACCCAACAGATGAACATTTCAGAGAGAAAAAAGCAAGCTTTTTTAAGTACTCAGTACTCGAGAAATCACCTGTCTGATGAGTGTAGAAGGGTAAGTAGTGGAATCTAAGAGATAAACCCAGAAACAAAGAGAGAAAGTCTCAAATTCTTGGTTTTCCACATCAACATCGACATTAAAATCCTCCAAGAGAGAGTATTTCTTCGTGTCAATCGCACAATCACTCGCCATTCTCAGTGGGGTAAAAAACAAAGCTCTCGACTTTTGCAAACGAAACCCTTAAAACCCAGAAAATGAAAACACATACAAAGAGAAGAGAAAGGTGAAACGTTTTCTCTCTTTTTTCGTTACCCAAATAAACAAACAAACTCAATCGATTAGCTTAAAAAGGAAACTCTGAGAAAATTTCTCCTCTCGTCTTTTGACGGCTGTTAATTAACGGTTGGTACCGTCTTCCGGTGGTTTCAGTCTGTAGGGAAGATCAGCAAATAATCTACTGTTTCGCGACCACTGTACTAAACTGAACATAGCCAATCAAATTCTTAGAACCATTGACATTTCCTCCATTTTATTTTTGTCATTTTTTTGGGATAAAATCTGCAGTAACAAATTTGGAGGAAATTGAAAACTACCAATTCTTTTTTCTTTTTCTTTTTTGAACCTTAAAACTACGAATTTTTTATGAATTATATTATTCTATTGATTATGTCTATTTTAAATTTATGTTCATATTAAAAATATATTATGTTTAAGTAAATATCAATTTATTTGGTTCAGTTACAGTAAAAAGCGAAATTGTTTCAATTTTTTCCGTATTTGTGTTAGAATGTTGTACTTTGTAAATGATATCGATATATTTGATTTATCGAAAAGAGAAAAATCAAGATTTTTGATGAATTAAAGTTTGACATCTGTCTTGTGTTTTCTATTAGCAAATTTTAAAAAACATTTTATTCCACTTAAATACCGGTCTTTGGAATAACAATATCGAAATCAGTTACAGTCCATTCTGCAATTTGATTCTTGCTCATATATATTTCAGTTCCTAAATCTATCGACGACCAATGTCTCTCCACTGGTTTCGTCCCTGGATCCTGCAAAAAAATTGTGTGTAATTTAATTAATAATGATGTCAATACATATAAGCATGCACTTATAAAAAAAAAAAGAAATACATATACGCATGCAATATATAAAAGATTTTACAAACATTTACCTGGTAAAAGTGGAGTGACTGAGAGAGTTTTCCAACATCAAGTTCCCAGGTTCTTGGATCTCCAATCCAACCTTGTCCTTTCTTTGTCGGATACCCAAACTCTTCCCACACAGGATGAGGCAAGATCTGCAGAATCTCCTGCGGTTGTGGATTACTGTACGGATCGCAAACATCGTACGGAGTTTCCGCGTAACGCGCGTTTCCCGGAACGCAGTAATAGTGGTACGCTTCGTATGGGAACCTCTCCTTGTCTGTTCTGTGAACTTTAGTCCCGTTTGGAAACGTGTGGTGCGGCGGACAAGCGTTTAGGCGGTTGCGGTTGCAAAGAGCGGTTGACTCGGGGTTGATTATCATCTCGCTATACCTCGTCACGTCGGTTGTGACGTCACCGTCGCAGTCTCTACCGTCGTTTTTCCAGCAACTTCCCATGTCCATTAGGTAGAATTGGCTCCCTGATCCGCCGCCTTTTAGAATCTCTAGCTTGAATGTAACTTTGAAATTCGGCGATTTAAGCGTCTTGTTGCGTCATAGAAACATCACAAAACAGAGTATTTTAGTCCTGAACATAAATAATATTGATGTCCAAATAACTAAAAAAAAAGACACCCATTAAACCCAAAAAAAAAACTAGAAATTATCAAACAGAAAACAGGATTTCGAAACTTACCGTCTTCATCATCCCTCTAGTATCATAATGATAACCACCAGAGAAACCTCGAGTAGCATCAGCTCGTAGATAAAGCATCAGCCATGGATACTTGGAAGAAGTCTTCAACAAATGATGAAAAACCCAACTCTCATTTCCACCAATCTTCTTCTCCCATTTCACCTTATAATACGAATTATTACCACCTGCTACTAATGAACCATCTTCTTCATCACTATCCAAATCCCAAGTCCCATAAAAACTCCCACTCATATATTCTTGATCCACTAAGCTTGTGTACTCATGATGCATAGATGGCATATTCATACATCCTTTCCCAAAACATGGAAACCTCCCTGTCGGAGGAAAAGGTTTCGCCTTTTTCCCGTTTTCCGGACAAATCGCTGCTAAAGTATCGGTATTACCGTTCTTTAGCATTATCATCCAAAACTGCCATGGATTTGGTTTGTCCATAACTTGACATTTATTTCCTAAGTATATTTCCTTTTGTGCAGCATAGCTATCTACGTTGTCTCCGGCGTTTATTCCTCCATATGTTCCATTTCGTACCCCGAGTTTGTTGTCTTTTTCGTCGACTTTATGGTTTATCTTCACTAAAAAAATGTCCCAAGAACACAATTAACACAGTTTCAGCTTGAGGGTTAAGACCTCGAGATTGTTT